AGGCTTCTTGGCAGGCAGGAAGCAGTGCTACCTGTTCCTTTTGGCTGTAGGAAACAAACTGGCCAAAGCAGCGCTGTTTCCCTTCATTATCCTGGGATGGCTAGAGTTCAGCTGACCCTGCTGGCATTTGCAGACTGCTCCGGTGCTGGGATGTAAAGAAAAATAGCAAGCACACTGTATTCATTTGTATGTAGACACAGATGAATGTAAATAAATTTTAGAGTAATAAAACAATAAGTAGCCTTCAGGTAATGAAAGTGGCTTATGATCAAGGACACTTCACTAACCAAACCTGATTGTTTGAAAGGAAAAGAAATTTTGATCCTAATGAGATTAAATTTAAACTGGGCAGTGTGCTTCAAAGCAGAGATTAAGCCCTTGGATTTTATCATAGACTGCAAATTTTCGGGACCTATTCTCCCTTCAGCTGAAGCCGGTGGCAAAATTCCTGTTGAAGCCAAAGCGGGCAAAAGAATGTATGCTCCAGCTGATAGACATACATAACTGGAAAGTTAGTCATGCTTAAGTTATAAAGTGTTCAGTGGAAGGTTCCATATATTTGGTGTCTGTATTTAGATGACAGTTGATCACAAGCTATTCAAAGACATTCTGCTTCAGCTTCTCAAGAAAACCCTTTATGTTTACTGTCCCAGGACCAAAACAAAGCCAGTCAGTAAGATTTTTAGGATTGAATTTATTAGGCTGGGGATCTAAGCCTCTCATTTCCAGGAGGTTTGTTAAAGATACAAGTTCATCTTTGACAATGTGCTCAGGTCTTGCGTGCAACGGAGACATTCTCTGATTTTTGCGGCTTTGATGCTTTCTGGAGCTCACTTATCCTTCAGCCTAATGAAGGGAAGGAAAGTGCTGAGAAAACTAGAATCTCTGCATTCAAAAGCAGTGACTTTGGAGTTTTGTAGTGATATTGACAGTTGCCCAATTAGAAATATGGCTTTAAATCAAGGCATAAAAAGTTGTCACTGCTTTTCTTCTTCAGAACAGGGGACAAGAAAATACAGTATTTGTATTATATACTGCCATATTTGGTAGAAGAGAAGACCTACGTGACAACACTAATATGAATTGCAAATAGAAGTAATTAAGAACATTTATGGGAGGAACTACTGTTCTGGTGAAACTATTCTACTTATGTGCCAAACCCCTCCTGTTCTTCCTCCTCTTTTCCCGCCTCAAAATTACTTCAGAAGTTGTAGAGACATAGATATTGGCTTTTGATGCAAATGTTTTTTGGCTGATTGCTACATAGCTATTCTTTATTGGCATTGATGTTGAAAGGCAAAGTAAATAGTTTTAAAGTGATTATTTTCTCTTAAGAATATTAGGATGGTCTTACTTTTTGATTTTTCTCATTCCTTGCTGGTTCAATAGTAATAGTTTCACAAGCAGTGATAAAGGTCGACTTCTGAGACCTGTTCTTCTTGCACTCTGCTTGAGGATGTAATAGGAAAGATTTTTGCTACCAGGTCGCAGGTCTGGCAGCATAAAGACTTTTCTGCAGTTTACTGACCTTCAGTCCTGGACTGTATATCTGTTTTTCCTATATACCGCACTTGTCAGACAAGTGTACAGCTAGAAAGTGTCATACTATCAAAAGATGTATATCTAAGGTGATTCACGGTCAGGGAGGATCTAAATGCCTAAGATTTCTGTGAGGTGTAAAATCTGAGGTGCCTTGGAATTGGAGATCCTGGCCTGGGTATGGAGGCATTCTCTGCAGAGCCTGGGGCCATGCCAGCACCTTGGGATAAAAATTCTCCACGAATGACCTGCAAGCTCAGCAGGGAGCTGCTGTGTACAGACACAGTCTTTATACCTCCCTCCTGAAGTAGCATGCAGGAAATAACGAGCATGGAAATTTGTCTAACGTACTCTGTGCGTGTAATCCCCGACTCAGAATCTCATCCTGGAGATAAGTGTTTGTAATGTTTCCTTCAAGAACTGAGAGGGGCATACTGCCAATATAAGAGGAAGTTGTGCACTTCTTTCAGTTATAAAATAACCTAGGAGTAAAGAATTCACCCAGGGAATGTGAGAGACAGATTTGGTGTCTTCCTTGGTCTTCTGGCAGTGAATGATTCCAGTGCTCAGGCGTATGCCCTTACTAGAAGTTGTCATGGTACAAAAAGTAATTTCAATTTCTTTAGGACAGCAAATTAAATAGAATTTTGTAAATTTAGGTTGCTCTGGGAGCTCCACTGGGAGGATGAGTTTCGGACTGTGTTAACTACTATTTAATGTAAAATTCAGGAACAGCTCTGGGAGTTGCAGTAAGTACTTAAACTGCTAAGCTTAGTATCTTCTACTCTTTCTGACTGAAGGAATCTTAATTTTTTTTTTTATGTGCAGTGGTATGTAGTCAGCAGTGGGGGTTACAAATCCAAGGCCCCCTGAGCCTTGTGAGTACTTTTCAGGGAAATAGGGCATAGAGAATCACAGAATGGTTTGGGTTGGAAGGGGAGCTCTTAAAGATCTCATAGTCCAGCCCCCTTGCCATGGTTTTCATCATATAGGTTTTCATCAGTCTTACTAGAGAACAGATCTGGTCCCCTGCAGGCCGTATTCTTGGCTGAGAGTACTAGTACCTGCAGCGGTGTTCCCAAATGGAGTTTGCACAAGCTGTTGTAGCTGCAGCTCTGTTCAGGTTCTTTGTACTGCTTGGTCCAGCAGCATCAAACTGAACCCTTGCACTGTGGCTTTACCTACCTTCTTACCCAAACCAGAACTTCCAATCGTGTCTGCTACCCTCTACCATGCTGTTCTTCCTCCAAACTTTACCTTCTACTTACAGCACAGTCCACACCCTTTCCACCCTGGCTCAGTATCTCGCCAGCTCTCAATCCTTTTATCCGCATCCGACCAACGTTTTTTCCAGATCAAAACTGTGCTGAGAAATACTTGCTTCTACATAAACTTTGCATATTTAAAAAAGTATTTTCTGTACATGCCACTTCCTACCTCAGTGTAATCAGGCTGTACGAAGGGTGCAAGTAATGTGTCATCACCATTCCTGTGAAATGGAAATGTTGGGACATTTAGCTCTGCAGGTTCCAGTGTCCCAGAGATCCAGACCTGCTTTTTCCCTTGATGAATGAATGACATGAGTAAAGCTGCCTCCTCCTCCTTTGCAATAATAAAACCAAAGTGGGAGGGAAAAAGTGATTCTACTAGCCAGCATGTGATTTATATTCAGAAGATTCAACTAGCGTCATGCCTAAAACTTTGATATTGACTCATTCAAATTAAAATATTTGTAGAAATAGTACCCTTGCTATTTAGGATATTTTAGGATTTTTCTTTCGCAAATTGAGATTTAAGGTAATTCAGTTAGGAAGCATCACGTGCAACTTACTGAAGCTATACTACATGAGGTTCATCATAAAAAGAATTTTATATTACAGGATGTTAAAACAGAAAGCAGCAGTCCCAGTTTTCTTGCAATATATATTTCTATAAAAAGTTTATAAACTAAATGAATTAAACTTTTGCACAAAGTTGATATTGCATATGAATTTATACAGCAATAGCTGAATACTCTTATCTATAAACACATAACAAAATTAAGGATAACAATTAATAGAAAAATACAAGGCATCTTTGCCATTCATGTTTAGTGTAATAGATAGCCAGTCATAAGTTATTTAAAAATGCACTACAAAAGCCTGATGAATACAATCCCTTCTGTGCCACTCCATAACTACTATGAATTTTACAATCAGTAGCGGGGGGGGGGGACCCTAGATTGATAGGGAAAGTGCTGGTTTGTTTCCTACTAAATATTTCACTTGCAAAAAATTTTATTTTCTAAAGAATACTTTAAGTCTCTTATTCTCACCAGGAATCTGGAATAACTCAGTGAATATTGCATCATTTTAACCACCCACATGTAGGTATAAATATATCAACACATTACTAGACATGTAATCAATTAAAGCCTTTTCTCAAGAAAACTATTCTTTCATCTTCAGTGAACCTTACACATCTTTAAAGATGTTTTTACTAGCATTAGGAAGGTGTTATTCTGCGAGCTACTGACTCCCGCTACGTGTCTGCCTACTCTCTTCTAACCATGTAATCCGATAGAAATCAGTTAGCTTTCAAGGTTTGAGATGCTTTCGGATTTGAATTTGAATGCTTTCAATTCCCAGTGTGTGTCTAATTTAATCTGCCCAAGCTTTCTGTCTCTGTCTAGCCAATAACAACTTGGTAAAATCAAGACAGTACAAGGCAGTAGACAGGAAAAAAATCCAGTTATCAGATACATTAGGAATACCACTGTTGACTTCAGTGGTGTAGGAAGCAGTAGTATCAGCTAATATGTTAGGATCCAGATCCTCAAAAAGAACTACTGTGCCTTAAATACCTTTCAAAAATCTGTGCCAAAAGAATCAAACAACACAGATCCACAGAAATCTGTGGGTAGAAGTTAAATGTCTTTTGATGTAAACTTTGCCAACCAGATGGCAGTATCATTCACAATAGCAAAACCTCAACTTGTAAAAATAGACTGTTTAGCTACAATCTGTTATACCTTTTCTTAAACTGCCTGGCAATAATGGATGTTGTGCAATTGAAGCACTGAAAGTACTTCACGCTATCAGCAGAACTCCTTGAAAAGATACAGAATCGTAAGCTACAGAAGGCTTATAGAAGATAGTACCGTGTATTTAAAATTATCAAGTGACAGCAAAAATGTCAGAGCTGTATTGTTTCCTCTGCTGATATCTGATAGCCTTAAGTGCACAATATGCGTAGTTTTAAACTTGGGCGTACTACGTATGTAATGAAAATAATAGCTGTTGGCCAAATTCTGCATTCCAGTATTGAGTACAACTTCTCACAAGAATCCTTGACTGACTACAGAAACGAAAAGTAACCCTTCTTCCCTTGCATTATGATAGTATATATAAGAATAAAACATCTGTACTTTAGAGGGACCATTTCAGTTTCAAAGTAGTAATATCCAATGGCAGATTTTTCCTTTATTGTTTAGAGTCCAAAAAATCTTTACAGATGCCTCTAATAATATCAGGAACCATCTGCTCCAATCCTGTGAACTCCCTAGTGAAGAAAGTATGAGATTCTTTCGGTTCAGAAGCCATGTCTTTCAGATCATCCAGAGGTGCCCAGGCAACACCGACAGAGAAGACTACTATCCCTACAATAAGAAAAAAAATAGTTAAGGCTATTTTGCCTATGGATACAAGAAAAACATCCATTTCTATATCCGTGAATTGGTCTTGATCGGAAAAGCATGTTTCAATACCTGCAGTCTGTCAAACATGATTAGATTTTGCCACTTAATATCAGGAATTAGAAGATTTGTCTCAGTAAAAATCATGAAGGAAATATGCAGTATCTTAAGAGTGTTTTAGTTGTTTTTGTAGTGACACATATGAATGTAGCAGTTATAATGTCAGTCTTGAAACACAAGTAACACTGTGTAAAATGCTTTTGAAAATAAATTTGGATCCTTTGTGTATGCTTAGTGCTTTCAAGCATCAGCAGCCCAAGAAGCTTTTTGAAAAAAACTGCTTATTTTCTTCCTCGGTGATGATGGAGAGCAGGAGTCATGCTGTATTGGATGGCATCACTGATTGGAGCTTCACTACTTGGCTCTTTATTTTAATCTACTGATTCATCTCCTGTTTAGGGAAATAAGACTGGTGTATGTTTTTCACTAAGCTTCCATGAGTGAGTCTACTCAATACCTGGCTCCATAGCACTGATTTTTTCTCCTCCTAATGGAAAACAGTTTCTTGGGGTTTACATTTTGCTGAATTTAAAACAGGTATGATACTTTATTCACTCACTGGGTCTGTATTTGCAAATCTTAAAATCTTAACATTTACAATACAGCAGAAATAGGATAAATCAACTTCCACTGCTTTTAAAGACACATCATTTACCTGCTTTTTGTGCAGCGGCAGCTGGTCCTCTGACATCATCATAAGACTGACCATCAGTCAAAACAATGAGGAAGTTTTTGTTAGGTCCATCTTTCATTGGCCCAAACACGTTTCTGGTTGTGAAAGAAATGGCATCACCGGTAGCAGTGCCACCGCTCATGTAGCGAATGTTCCGGATAGCTAAGAGGACCTTTTCTTTCGTGGTGTAATCTGTGAAGCTGAATTCGGTACGCTGATCGTATGTGAACTGCACAGCTGCAATCTTGGAACCAATATCAGAGATCTCAAAAGCCTTTGCAACGTTGCTGATGAATTCAAGCACAAGGCGGAAGTTGCTGTCTCCAATGCTGCTGGAACCATCTATCAAGAAACCAATGTTGACGGAGTTGTAGCATGTCTTGCTACACAACATCTGCTCATGTGAACACAATTTTTGGACAAGAGGTTTCACGTATTTGGTAGTACCAAACCAGGTGGGCATTTGGTAAGAGAAGAAGCCGTTGTTTCGACAGACAGCCTGTTTGAAAACAAAAAGTCAAGAAGTGAATACTGACACAGCAGCTGTAGGGATAATAATCGGACATCTATGCAATTTTCTTTCAAAGGCAGGTGAGAAGTGGAGCCTGATGGTGGGGGTTTGGGGTGAGTTTTTTGCTTGTTTGTAAAGAAATTGAGGACAAACATCTGCAGTTGAAGTTGGTGAAAGCTATAATATAGCCTATTTTATCCAATAAAAGGATTCAAGGCTGCACCTGGAATACTGTGTTCAGTTTTGGGCCCCTCAGTACAAGAAGGACATGGAGGTGCTGGAGCATGTTCAGAGAAGGGCAACAAAGCTGGTGAAGGGTCTGGAGCACAGGCCTTATGAGGAGTGGCTGAGGGAACTGGGATTGTTTAGTCTGGAGAAGAGGAGGCTGAGGGGAGACCTTATCGCTCTCTACAACTACCTGAAAGGAGGCTGTAGTGAGGGGGGGTGTTGAGCTCTTCTCCCATGTAGTTAGTGATAGGACAAGAGGAAATGGCCTCAAGTTGCATCAGGGAAGGTTTAGATTGGATATTAGGAAAAATGTCTTCATGGAAAGAGTAGTCAAGCATTGGAGCAGGCTGCCAGAGAGGTGGTGGAGTCCCCATCCCTGGAGGTGTTCAAAAAACAGGCAGACATGGCACTTTGGGACATGGTTTAGTAGGCATGGTGGTGTTGGGTTGATGGTTGGACTGATGATCTCAGAGGTCCTTTCCAACCTTAGTGATTCCTAGTTTTTTACTTTCATTAAAAAATAATCCAGCCACCAAGCCAGGAAACATGAGATTAATTATTACTCTACCCTTAATTGGTTTAGTGGTAGACTTGGTAATGTTAGGCTAATGGTTGGACTTGATGAGCTTGAAGGTCTTTTCCAACTTAAATGATTCTATGATTCTATGAATAATAAAGTCAACCCTGCCCCCTGGAAATTTCAAAGAATTTCACTTTATTTGTAAGAATTGTAACAACTGGAAATTATATTTTTTGAAAGTGAACTAAGTCATGGCTACTGAATATACAAAGGATTAAAAGTTCTGTATTTTTGCTTATCCACTGAAAATTAGGCTTCTGTGTTTTCCCTTTGAACTTGGTAAGCACTTTATTTTTTTTAATCTATGATGTCTCATAAACACAGACATACAGTTTGGTAGAAATATAGCTCCAGCTTATTCAAAGTAAAATTTCTTTTTCCCCTGGCTTCTATAGGATGCATGTAAAGTGCAACATAATTGAGAAAGGGATTAAATTTAAAATCAGCTCTCCAAGGTGGTAACTAATCTGACTAAGATCAAAATGCAGAAGGGGAGGGCAGGCCTCAGTCACCTAAGGTCATGTCTTTACATGCCTATGAGTATATACAAGTTGGACCTGCCTGCAATAACACTGGGGTGGGCAGCAAGCTATCTTGTGCCTGGAAGCAGCAGAGCCGTAGTGCTTCATTCTGTTCATGTGCCAAGCTGTGAATTTTCTGCTGAAATTAAACATCTAAAATCTCCCTGTGAAAAATGAGAGGTTTTCTTACTGGAGAGTAAATAAAGACTTAGTGATTAGAAAGCTCATGTGAGAGAAGATCTGTGTTTGCATTCCTACTCTTAACTCATCCAGAGCAATATCCAAAACTCTTCATCCAAGATGAATGGCTTGCATGTGAACTTGTTAGGATGTGTTTTCAATCTTTCCTCTCCTCTTTGTAGTGAAAGTAAGTAAATAATCCTCCACAGAGCAGGTACTGAAAGATATGCCTTCCTGTCTGCCATTTCAGGATAGGAGATATCATATCTGTGTTTCATTGCCTTTGACACATTTAACCATACCTACGATAGGGGAATCTCCTACTCTGAGAATCTTCATGTAATTACAAAGTCCAGGAGCTACAGCTTGGCCAAGACTCTGAACTGGGAGGACAGTGATCGCACTTCGGTACCTTTGTGTAGCCCCCTCCAGCAGGAAAAAACCCAGAGTTTCTTTAGGCTTCCTAGATAGTCTTTCAAATCACTTATAAGCAGGGATAGCTTCACTGGTGTTTTTGAGAGAATATTTTGATTTTTTTAATATATATACTCATATACAAAAAAGAATTAGTTCATTAGGATTTTAGCATGAAGTAAATTCTCTGGAATCATACCCATGACTGAAAAACGTATAATGATATTCTCTCTTACTTTGTCAACAAACCCAATGTCTTGTACCATTCCCAGCTCCTCTGTTGTGGGTTTCGCTACAGATACAATGAATACATTGACTCCAAATTCTCTGGCCACTATGCCGGCTTCTTCTATATCATCTGAGGGCCAGCCATCTAGGAACACTACAATGATCTTGGGAATTCCTTTGCGTGCTCCATTTTCTAAAGAGAAGAATTTCTGAGCTGTGTGCTTCAAAGCTTTCCCTAGTTTTGAACAGAAAAAGAATATGAAGAAATAATGCAATTATATTTTGACACCAGTTTCCTATATGAAATTGTGCTGGATTTTAGTTATGATTACAGGTCTAACCCAGGGTAAAAGTGAAATAGTGTCTCAGAAAATTTGACAATAATGAAGCTTGAGCAACCTGTAAGTTAAACACCAAAACAAATCAAAAAAATCAAACCCAAACCACCCCCACAAAAAAAACCCCACAAGATAAAGCTGAGGAAGAAACCACTGACATTTTTTCACCCACAGGTCTAGTTTTGTACTAAGAAGTAGATATATTAGTGCCTGCCAAATAAATTGGAAGGAAGAAAGTTGACGAACTACTTAAATTTAGCTTGTGAAATGCACCGTATTTGGAATGCTCAGTTTCCTCATTTGGCAAACATTTCTTCACAACCATTTACTACTGATTTCAAGATTATTCTAACTCTTTAATTAGCAACTCAACAAGAATGAAATGCTAAGCCTTTTAGATATGAATTTGTCCCAAGATATCAGTCCGTTACTAGTGAAAAGTTGATTACCGTTTAAACACAGGAAGTGATATTTGCATTTCTACTCTAATTAAATGTGTAATAAGGAACCCTAAGTTGTGGAAATGAAAAGGAAGATGTGGCAATGGTCTAGTGGAAAACTGTTGAACCTGACTAAGATGAGCATGGCATTTAAACCACTTTCTTGCCTAACTGAATTATAAGAACTTCAGTGAATATATCTATATGCATAATTATATATATTCAAATAAATATGTATTCAGAAATGTGAATAAATAATTTATATTTGCATAGAGGTGAGAACTCACCTGTATTAGAATTGCCGCCTCTGAACCCTAGTTCCTTTATGGCAAACAAAACTTCTTTCGCAGCAGTGAAGTTTTTCAGATAGAATTCAATTTTTGGATGTTCACTGTGGAAATACAAAACAGAGTAATAAAGTATGCAGTTCACTTTTCATACCGCTGTGGCATTAGCAAGCTAAAATACACTTTGAATCATTTTGGTTTTGGTAATATGCACTCTTTTTTATATTTTTAATTCCTAAAATAGAAGTATGATCCTCACTTAACAATTCTCACAATCCTTAACAAGAGGAATTATTTAGCTGGGTGGGTAAATTAAGAACAGATTGATTCTTATGCTTATCAAGCAGCTGAAAATGTTAAGTTGAAGACATATACAGGAAAAAATTTAGAACATGCCAGATGTTAAACTAAATACATTTGTGTAATTGAAAATGGGCAGGTGTTCCACTATTTGTATGAGAAATACCATGTTTTTAAAAAATTCCTGAGACATGCAGACAGCTTGTTATTTAATTTGAGAAGTTTGAAGGTACGTTAGCTACTGACTCCATGTAAGAAATGAAAGATTTTAGCTACACTAAGTTTCCAGATTTCACTTTTGACTTATAGTAGGAAACAAATTTGTCATGCAAAGAGTAGAAAGAAAAACACCTGCAAGTCAAAGAGCTGTGCTATGAATAAATGGCCTGATCCTGCATCAGAATCACTAGAATGAACCCCTGTGCCAAGCAGAGTTGGTCTGCAGTGCTGAATCTCATGGCAATGTAACTGTTAAAATGGAACATTTTGAGATATAAAGTTTATTGCTTGTAAGATTAATTTCTAATTAAGAGTTGAATGTTCAAGGTGCTGAACTGATTACTCTGTTTCCCCAGGAATTGTTCCTCACGTTATAGTATTTAAACCCAGGACAGCAGGAGTGAGGCTCGTTTCCCCTAGATTTTGATGTCTACACTGGACAGACTGGATTTTCCAGGATGGAATTCAGCACATCCTAAAAAGAAGCATCCAAAGCAGTTCAGATAGTTTGTGCTGTGAATGTGGTCCTTCTTTCTAGTGACTATAAAAGTAAGCCAAGCTCATTAAATCAGATGCAGACACCTACTCTGCAGTTGTTTAAAGGCAGGGGAGAGGAACAGACTTTAATGATGAAAGATGCGATAGAGAAACCCCGTGTTAATCTAACAGATGTTTCATCTTCTTAGGATAAGAGAGTTAAAGGCTTCTTTGTGCTTCTTTTATTCCAGAAGCTATAGCCAAAGCGGTTAAGCCCTGGAAAACTGCTACTGCTGAGCACTAACAAACTGAGCTGCAGCTCCAAAAAACCTTTTACCAACACATTGGATGATGCAGCGGCTTTCAGACTGTTTTGCAGCCTGTGAACATACGCTGTGGTATGAATAGTCTTAAAATAAAAAGCGACCATTTACAATTTGAAAATATTAGCTGTAGTAACCTACAGGTTGGCAAGAGCAATTTTTTGTTTTGTACATGTACATAGCAATTTGTGACGATTCTCTCTCTACAATTTTTAACAAGCCGTGTCTCCTTTGCAAAGTGCTTTCTGCTGTTTTACTAAGATGATCTGCAAAACTGTCAGCAGCAGAGGGGCTGTGAAAAGTCTGGCTGCTCTCTCTATCCAAATATCAAGTATCACAGAGGCAGAGGGTGATCAGATTTTTCACACCTTCTCACATGGACATGTCAGTGTAGCACAGAGCAAACAGTACTAGAGCTAGAAAGAGTTTGCTTTCTCTTACTATTCATCTGCCATTATTGAGTGAATACTGTTCTGCAAAATAGAGAGTGATATATTAATTGATTTCTGTTATTAATCACTCGGTTATATTTTGTATAGATCTGTCCTTACCTGGCTTGTACAACTCCAACATGAGGCCCTTCTGTTCCAATTCCCAACATCACAGCTACTTTTCCAATAAAGTTTTTCTGCAAATTAAATCTACGTTGGCCAATGTTGTAACTTCCATCAATGAGAAATGCAATATCAGCTTTACAGTCTGTGAACATCCAAAATAATTAGACTTACATAACACCAAATAAACATTAGTATTTTGCTTTGCAAAAGGTAAATCTGTGGGTTCCTACCTTTGTTTCCAGCCTTTTTATCAAGTGGCTTCTTAGGTCTTTTACCTTCAGTGAAGGAAACAGAATGGATCATTTAAGAACAACAAGATGAACAGCCAAAAGCGAACCAGAGAAACCTCAGACTCCAAGAATTACATTGCAATCTATCTGCAGTAAGAACTGTCAATCAGTTTAATTATTAAACTTGCACTACTACTGCTTTGCTCCTTAGAGAATATTCTTTTTCAAATGAAACAGTTTCTCCTTCCTTTCTACACCTGCTTGGCTGATTACTGAAATGTAGAAAGCTGGGTGGGTTGCTGTAGCTCACCATCCCAAGTGCTACTATTTCTCAGTTAGCAATCCTGGCTGTACGGTGTGCAGTTTTAATGGTTTGGAAGCAAACTGTGACTTCAACTGTAAGGCACACAGTCTATTCATGAACAAGATCCAAGTCCGGTATTTATACACCACTAACCATCATGAAAGCTGATCTAGCCTTTTACTGGTAGCATTTTCTGTGGAGAAATTCACGTAACATCTAAATTTCTGCTATGTAAGTCCCGACAGCACTCAGCTGTTGAGTAGTTCTGTAAGAAGGAATGCATTGTCTGTATTCTCTGTCACTTAATAAGAATGAATATTACATGAGCTCATGAACTCTTTCATTCCTTTCTGTTACATTCATATTACTTTTCTAAAGTCATTGAAGTTTTTAATTTACATGAACACTACTGAAGTCAGAATCAATCTCCTCAATTACAAATGATTCCTCTTTTTGCTGATGAAAGATATACTGCAAAAACAGATCTTGTATATATTTTCTTCTTTAAAAATAAACAAATCCTGTGAAACACTGCATTTTAGTCAGGGATTCATGCACTGTAGCACATTGTCTCACTGGAGGCTTCCCTTCTTGCAGAGATTCGTACCTGTAGAAGGACGTGCTGTTGATACTGATCGCCCAACTGCTTCAAGCGCTGTGTTCTTGGTACCTGTTAAAATATTGGAAGAATAAATTTACTGTATATCCCTGTTTTTACATGAAATTACAAGTGCTTGAAGAGTGCTGTATTGCCAATAACCTTTCTTCATCGTCTGCCATCAGTTGCTCTTGGAGTAGGACAGAGGCCAAGACAGATCTTTGGTGCAATCCAGTATCGCACTCCTTGTTTTACAGGTAATACTTCTCCTTTGAGCTTCTGCATTTGAAACAATAGCAGCTGATGTGTAATTACAGCGTATCTAATTGATGAGGGTTTTGGAACTATAGCAGACGTTATTTCTAGCAGATACATTCAGGACTTGATCTGGAGAAGTGGATTTCACTTAACAGCCTCACCAAAAGCACCTGTAATTCCAAGTTCTTAGCTATTGATTTGCAATGGACACTATACAAGGATTACCAGTATCTTAGCAAGAGAGTAGGTGGAATTTTAGCTATGTAAACAATAAGAATGCTTTAGAGAGATTTGTTTCCCAAACTTTGGAAGAATACACCAGAAAATACATACTCTTCAATATTTTTGAAACCACAGCAACATGTATAACCAGTAGGCTTCTTTATACATTTTTATGAGGGTGGTTTAACCTCACCCAACTGGCAGGGTGTGGCAACTGGTTTGCAGTCAGGCACAGTATCTCAACTATGTGGATAAAAACTTCTGAAAAAACCACTATGTCACACTGTAGTTTAGTGACCACATCACATCTAAGTTGACATCATTCCTCTTTTTGGAGGGTCAGTGTTCTGTTTGCAGGGAATGCTGCACAAGCTCTTTGAAGGGCGTGACAATACTGCCTGCATAAAGGCAGGCAGGGGGAGAGCAGGGATAAAATTATATGGCTAGAAGTGGTAGGAGGACAGGACTGCAATAGCAGGATCAAAGCACCGACTTAGATCAGCTTAAACTGTTGTGGAAACGCACTGTCAACTGCCTCCTATCATGTCATTATATTGTAAATAACTGCAATCCATTTTTACGTATCAGCTTTTGCTACAGACTAGCTAGTCTAGCTGGAATAGTATTTTAAGGAAATCGTGGAAAAACGAACATAAAATGAGTTAAAAGTTAAAGCTTTTGTTACTACGCTTCAGATAGCAATCACATTGTTTATGCATACGGGAGCATTGAAGCAGTTTCCTAGACTTCTGTTAGTATTTCAAATATAGTTTGCAAAATAGTAAGTGTGATCCACCTACGAGTCACTGAGAAAGACGAAGCCCATCTAGTGAGCGCCTGAGACTGGATCCCATTGGCATTTACAGCAGGGTAGTTTTCCTGTCCTGGGAGAGTCTGTACCCTTACAGCTCCTCCTGCACTGGTGATCACTCCCCTGAGATACAAGAAGAGTTGTTATATATCAGACATTTTAATCACAAGAAAATGCAATACAATTATACCATTGTTAGTACATTGGATACTAGCCTCCTGAAAAAAGATGCCATATAGGCAGGCGGTTTTGTTCAGGCTAAAACAAGCTATAAATTGGTGAAAAGACTTTTAAAAGAAACAGACTTAAAAAAAGTCAGGAAATTCTAAAATTCTGGCAGTGTTCAGATTGACACAGAAGAGTCATGTTTCAATGACGTATCAATTCCTAAGGGAAAGAGCTCCCGCAAAATGTATTTGAGCTCATTACGCCTCATGAATATTTGTGACTGAAACAAAATTCAGCGTGCTTAACTACAAAATGACCAAAGCTAAGAAAACTGGGAAGGAAAATTGCTGTTTATAGTGGTAATGGATATCAATGATCTCTCGGGGTCCCTTCCAACCCAAAGCATTCTATGATTCTATATAGGGTATCTTGTTATGCAACTACAGACTGAAGTCAGAAATGATAGACATTATTGATAGCAGCCATCAGATTACTGATAATTATAAGAACAGAGCCTAAAGCATCTTATTCTTCTTATTCACCTGTAGTAAACATTAAACGTGAAATCTGAAATGAATGAAATAAATAAATGCAAGTTAATAACTCAATCCATGTAAGATTCCGGATTGCTTTCAGTCTGGACTTGGAAATAGTGTATCAACAGTAGATGCAATTCAACTGTGTAATTTTCACTGACAGAGACATGGAGTAGCTTACCGAATTGCAGCTTTAGAACTTAGAATACTTAGGTAATAGTTAACAAGTCACAGCTATCTTCATTAGTTTAAGCATACTGCAATGCATCCTGAGTATACAGTTATAATGAATTAAAAAAAAAAAAAAAAATCAGAACAAATACCAAGAAGCTTACTGATTAAAATATCTTATAAATTCATATTCAGTATTATAAGACTATTACAGTCCTTAATCCCTTACTAGAAGGGTCAGTTCAGAAACGCAGAAGCAACAAGAGAACTTGTAGCAAAACCTATGGAGGAAGTTTTCCAAAACTGAGAAGAGAGTTGAACCTAGACCCTAGACAAGTTTTTAGAGGTCACAGTCTAGTTCTTAGAGAAGGCCACTGTCATTTTTCCCTTATTGAGTTTCATTTCATGATTCAACAAACAGGTTTGGGGATTGCCTGCCAGATCTGTCCTGCCATCTGAGACAAATAAAGGAATAGCTAGTTTGAAAAGCTTGCTGATGCTTACGGGCTGAGCATCGTGTGAATACCCAGCAGGACAATAGATTTATGCATTTAGGAAACTTCAGGGTTAAAAGCAGCCCAGAGAGAACTTCACTGGTTTTGCAGGAAGAGAGGCTGCTGTGGTTGGCTGTGTTTGGATACCTCAAGTGACAAGAATGGGCAGCAGAACTGTTCAGATCTCTTTTTATGTGCTACTGAAAGAACAGTTATTATTTTTAGAGGCCAAAATTCAACATTGAGCTAACATTCAACTAAAAGGGAGTAAAAGCTTGATGCTTTGTAGTACTTAGGCAGGTACAGTACTGTGGGACACAACCAACCATTTCAAGACTATTTAAACACAGCAATGTGCTCCTTTGTGTTTATTTTTCTTATCTGTTTGGCTTCCTGCTTGAAAAGAGATCCCAGCCTAATCTGATTTAAAACATTATGCAAGTAGAATAATCAAGACCAGAGTTTAGAAAATCATGCATGTATTTCTGGTAATACGAGCTCTGGCTATCTGTGGCAAAGGCAGCTTCCACGTAAATCTCCTTGTGGACTATTGTTAAAATACATTCCTCATTTATGGATGTGATTTGCATTTCTAAATTGAACTGTGGTTATACATATTTAATTCTTGTAGCTTGGAAGATTACGATAGTAGTTTCAAAGTATACGGGTATTTTCTCATCCAGGAATACTGTATACAGTACGTAGACAGAGGAGCTTTACTAAAGTTACCCTGTATGAGTTTAAAAATCTGATTATAAAGTTGGCAAATACAAACAGCACTTCACAGTTCTTTAAAAAACAGTGAGAGAAAAATCAGACCAGAGCCTCTAATTGGTTGTTTTTAAAGGACAGGAAAATTCAGTAAGGCAAAATTATCTTTGGGAAAAATAACACATTAATGTATTTAGAATATTTCAGTCTAATTAGAACATAATTTTCTTCTCCAGTACCTGGTTCTCTTTGGCATTCAAGCCTTCACTAGTGTCTCAGTCTTAATAGAAAAGGAAATACGTGTCAGAATATTTCTGTGTTTAACTGGAACAGTTCCTAGTTTAAGTTTATACTTGTAAATTTAAGTGATGAAGCTGCTTTGGGCTTGCATCAGCGTACCTGATCTACGCCCCAGTTAGCTCCCAAGAAGAGCTTAGTATCTCTTTCCCTTTCCCTTGTTGTGGACTTGCAACTTTGAGCACTGGCTGAATTAAACTCAAATATTCATACTGAAAGCTTTGTCTAAGAATTATTCCTGGAAGCAATGATTTCAGCTTATTTTAGTCACTGTGTGACCACTTTTGCCTATATGGTTCCATTTTGTCTATTGGTCTTTTCATTTTGATTTCCATGTAATCATTCTGGGGGAAAAAAAAGATCTAAATAGTCTCCGTCAAATTTGGAAGCTTTCCACTGAAACCAGAGTAGATTTATTTGCTCCTTTGTTGCTCCTATTTATTGAAAACATTTGATTCTGCATTTTATCACAACTCAGAACTCTAGACTGCCTTCTAAACATACACTATTCCCATATAACAGCTCTGCTACTTTTAATGCAAGTGGGGGTCTGACATTAGATGTGAATATAACATGAACTATGTCTTTAAGAAAGTTATTTGTTCTGTAGGTAAATTAACAACTGTTTAAGCCATCTTTTACAATCTCATTGGTTTTACTTGCTATGTTTCTTCCAGCAAGTTTACTCAGAGCATGTGCTCATACATGCTGAAGTGGAATAAACAATGTTGTCAGTCTGCCTTTGTATTCTGAATCAGACCGGTAAATTCAATTCCTTTCCACAGTCATTTATGATTGACTTCAAAAGTGAGATTCATCCTGTGTAGATCTGCAGTGGTACTCAAACAGTGAAGAAGTGCCTGTGCATTTCCTCAGAATGATTTATGTCATTACAATCTGCTTTGATTTTCACCACTGTTCTCTGCTCCTGTGCGATTGACTTGCATGCCATGGCTGTTTTGATTAAACTGGAACTCTGCATATTTTCCAGGAACAGCTTTCACTTCCTTACTATGTTTCATGCCACTGCCAGGGCTGCTTGATGGCAACTTTATATAGAAGCTGTCAGTCCATTCTCTTGCCTAGCTTCACTGTTAATAACAAATCATAATTTATACCTAAATGGTATTTTTCACTCAAAAATGCACACAAATTAAACAGAAAAGCAGATACATGAGGAAGCAATCCAGTACCTCACTGCACACTAGCTCATGGAAGAAAGTATACTGGCCAAGGGCAGCAGAAGATACGGGAAAGTCTTATGAAAGATAGGAATTTAATCTAAAACATACTTAAAAATCTGAATCAAGGTAAACAAGCAGATAGGATTGAAGCTTTTTAGGGCCCCATGCACCTCCTCAAAGTAAAGTGCAAGAACTGTTTACCTGCACTCTCAGAGAAAGAAATGCAGGGGTGGCTTGCCTTTGCTGAATTTTGAATGCATTTTTCAAGGAGCCTGCACATCAAAACTGATGCCTAGACCACAAAGAAACTCTTCCAGCTGTGGCAGGTGACCCTTATAGATGTAACTGCACTCGGTAATCTTACCAGTAGAAAGCTGAAATTCCTCCATCTTTTAACAGGAGATAGTAACACAAGATTTTTCAGCTGGTGAAAATCTTTTTCCTCTGGTTAAATTTTCCATTGTTTCTTAGAATTTGTAAGAGCAGTGACAGATCTGGCTGATGGAGAGAACACTTGCAGCATGCTTATAAGCTATTGACTTGTTTAAAAATGTTGGAGATGAAGCCAAGTAGCTATTCCCTTAAATGGGCTTAGTTCTAAGTGCAAGGTAAGGACCAGCTAAATAAAATTGTCTAAAGGAAACAAAACATTGTCAGTGACAGAGACAAAGACTGTGTTTTCCCTTGTTGTATAACAGTGTTAAAGACTGAAGAGAAATAGATTTGAACATAGACTAAGTGTTCTATGCCAAGGAAAGGTCCCAAGCCCAAGGGCAGCAGTGCTGCAACTGGGCTGTTAGAAGTACATATTGAGCTGATTGAGTCTTGCAGTCCAGAAGCAAGATGTTTGCTCAGAAACTTACATGGTATGTTTATATGCTATTCATTGTGTTCATCATGTATTTCTACAGGTAGACTATCTGCTTTTTCAGCAGAACGGAGAGAGCAGAAAGATGAAGGCCTGCCATCCTACCCAAGAGCGTAATTTTGACCTGAAAGTTCCTGTTGCTAACAAAGTGCTGGCTGTGATAGCAGCTGGCATTTCCTATAGGGTCCTTGGATGAAAACAGTTATCCTCAGGGACTTGAGACAAGACAGCTGAATTACCTGAATTCCCATCTTTCCTTCTTACTATCAGCAGCTGCATCAAACTCCTTCCACATCATCTGCCTTTCTCCATGGCTCCAAGGAGCATCCTCCCCTTCTCCAAACTGCAGTCTCCTACTGCTGCCTGACTGCCTTCAGTCACTGATACAGAGCTGCTCCGGGTCTCATGCCAGCATCCTCTGGCCCCCCAGGTTGTGCTCTTTCTGTCTCCTCTGCATCCCTATTGCTTTTGGCAGGAAAGAAGGCTCAGCAGCAGAAGCAGGCACTATACCAAAGTTTCCCAGGGAGCTACAGCTGCTCAGAAATCCCTCTGGCCAGACCACCTTTTTGTCAATATTCTGCTAGCAAACACTAGGGCAGCTCAGGGGCCATCATCTGTGTTTGTGGTCACTTTGTGGCCGGCTTGGTAATACCATGATATGCTTTTGTTAAACTTGAGTTCTGGGCCCCCAATGTTTAATTAGAAATGGTTCCACCCTGTGACTAGTTAGGAAGGTTAGGAAAAATTTTACATGCCTATTTAACATCTAAACACTACCACATTGGGCTAGGTCTCCATTTAGTGGAATTGGCACTAGAACAGAACTGAGAACCTAGTCCTTTGTTTGATCTTCTGATTATTAATCCAATTAATCACTCAGTGGTATATTTAACTCAGTTCTTCATGTCTACAGGGTGTCAGCCTGGTAGGAGGTTCCCCATTCTTCCCCCAACAAATAAATCTTTTATTCTTCTGCCCAGAAAAAGAACAAATTAAATAAATATTCTGTTTCCTGAGAGTAATTACACATAAAATAAGGAGAGAAAAAGGAGAGAAAAAGCCAAATACAACAAACTAAAACAGGCAGAAAGCTTATTCATCTGTAGTATACAGAATTATTCATAGCTGAATTCTGCTAAATTCTTTACATACATTATATGGTATTTTGTGTTAATAATTGCCTCACAGTAATGGAACTACTCATAGGAATAAGCGTTATTTTGTTTATATAAAATTAAGGAATCAAGCCTCAATTTGGTCCCAGCACACAAACTGCAGTGTACGTGGAAGGGGGAGCTGACCCATGCTCACACAATCATTTTTCAGTTTAAAAAAAAAAAACCCACAAAAAAAGACAAAAAAGGCAAAAAAAAAAAGCACCGCCCCTAAGACTGATGCTTCTTGAAATGGTGGATAGTTGTCTGACTGTGCTTTCTATAAGCTAACAGTCATTGTAGTGGCACAGGCGTGGTCCTCAACAGTGCTTAAGGTATAGAGCTATGTTGCACTCACCGTGCAACATAAGCAATATACCTAGCTTTAAACTAGACATAGTTGTTTCAGTTATTTGGAAGAAACTTACAAAATTCTCAAAACACATATCTAGTTACATCACAATAACAGCAAATTGCCATGATTACCTATTAGCAATATGTTCTTGGAGTTACTTTGACACCAATACGGAGTTTAGCCATTGCAACACAGGGTGAGAAGGAGCAAGTATTTTTGTATGTTTTTCTTGGATTTTGCAGCCTGCACTGAAATTAGCCGAGAACTGAACAGCTGTCACCTCTCCTCCACTCAGTCCTTTTTTTACCAGGACTAGTATTTAAGGCTACTAATAGTTGCAGCAAAACCAACAAAATGTTCTCATGTAGCAAATTCTGTTCTGAGTATGAAAGGCCAACAGGACTAATAGCCCTCAATTTAAAGGTAGTCTTCAAAAAACAGCAGTTCTCCTAAACAGAAGATTTTCACCTATATTCTGCTTTTTCAAAGTGCTTTACTGCAGTCTGTCATATTCAGAAGACTTGAACATTGTTAATTTACATACTGGAAGACACAGATTAGAATGCTGAGTGTATTTTAATCCCTTCATTGCTGTTAGAGCCCTCATTGTTCTCACAATGTCTGTGGAGACAGACTGTTAGATGCAGGTTTTACAAATGGGTGCACATTTCACAAGCAGTATAATTTATATTGATGCTTACTATGGAAAAGTATGGATTTTTCTCTACTCCTACGCTTCTGGGCTGGAGAACAATAATAAACATGGTTTATAAGGTACTGACTTCAGTGAAGAGCTAAGTGATGTATAAATGCCTGTGCTTTATTATTTAGGGGAAGACTATGCAGATTTCTTTTCAAGATTGGCATCTTCCATTTCTTGTACCTCCTCCTTTTGTAAAAGTATTCTGCAGCGGTGACGGAACTGAGCCCCACCAGCTTTCTTGTTGGGACTTCTCTAATAGTCACAGTTGCCACTGGCATGGGAGGTTCAAGACCCTAACCAGTTCAACTAGGCAACAAACTGTTGCAACTTTTCAAAACACTCAAGTCTTCAGTCCCTTTGGAAAAAGTCTTGATAGCAAGAGCTTTTTTTCCTCTTTAAGTAAAGACATCTTTGGCAACCAGTAAAGAAATGGAATGTTAAAGTAAATGGCTACATGATTAAATGCAAACATTGTCTTAGAAAAAAAGACAACAGGAAGAAATCTCAGTTTTCCTATACAACCGTTAAAACAAAAGAGACATTTGATCCAGACATTCCTTCACAAACTTTATGTATATACCTAAACTAGGTAAAGTGAAGAACTGAAGTTTAAGTTCTTTTCTTTTAAACACTCATGAAGACACTTAAAGCACACTGAATGGAGGCATTCATTCTTTTTACAGAGGGATCAAAAGGAAGCCTGTTCTAGCAATAAAACACACATGGAGTCATGTAATTATCTTTGAAACTAACTCTTAAGCTTTAAAAACAAATACACACAGACCCCCACAATACCTCCCAAGTTCTTTCTAGCTGCCCCTATAGTATCTTAGCTCTCAGTCTCCTTTACAGCATTTGAGAAATTCCAGACAAGAGTTTCTACTCAAAACCTTTTGAGTTTAAAAACTGTAAAAATAGCCTGAATTTTGGAAGTCTTGTTAGAAGTTATAGGATTTTAATTGATGCTTTAAATAAGTTTTTGGATAGTAACGATAGCCCCCTAAATACTATTTAAAATGCTTAGTATGTATTTTATGGCATTTAAAGTATCAAGCAATGAATATTAACTCAAAAAAACCCTTTATGTTCCTCCTTTATCTTCATTTATTTCTCTGTAAAATTTTATATGTTAACATAAATGTACCTAGAAACTAAATAAAACTAGTTTTAACAAGTTCAGTGATGCTTGAAAGGATTCTGGATAATTTATGTTGTAATCCAAAAATGCTAATGAAATCTCATTCATAGGAATAGGACACTAAAAAGAAGTCTCTAATATAGTATGATACCTCAATATAATGATTAGTGTCAAGAGTACCTCTTGACACCCAAGCAATTTAGATTATATGTGTGCTGAAATCTTAAATATATTCATAATATTTAATTATAGATTCTCAGAAATTAGGAAATATTTGGGCAGGATGATCTAGTCTGTACTTTTGCTTCAAGATAAGATCAATTATAGTTATCTAGTTAATTCTAGACAGATAGATGTCTATCTGTTTTTGGAAACTGCACTGTCTATTGCAGTTCCTATAATATCCCAGGCCATCTTGTCTCTCTCCTTGTTGTTAGACTTTTCTTCATGTCTAATCCAAGTTTCTGTTGCTGAAGTGTCAGGCCTATCTTAAGAGTTGTAACACCTTACAAAGTTTGGAATCTACCTTGTGGTAGGAAGCATATTGTGAAAGGTCTAAGCAAACAAGCATCATGTTGTACAGCCAGTTAATAGATGAAGCAAAAAAAAGAAATCCTCCTTTAATAACCAAAAGCTTTCTCAAAGTATTAAAATCAAAGTTGGAAACTCCCTGTAGACTGACAGTCAGGAATCACTCGGGCTTCCACAGGCATCTGAAATAGGTATCTCACTGTCTCCAGCTGGTTTTGTCCAACATTTCCTTATTAAAAATTGATCCAAGAGAGAATTTACCTTGCAAATAAGTAATTAAGTCTTTGTCCTTCCTCAAAAAAAAAAAAACCCAAAACAAAACAAAAAACTCCCAAAAAACCCAACCCCCCAAAAACCCAGATAACCTCAATAAGGTATCTGCTAGCCTGTTTCCTTCCCCAGTGGAATTACTATTGCTTTTCTAATGACATCTATTTATCATGGGTTATACAGGTATTTTTCTTAGCCCTTAGTTTTCTATTTGATACAGAAGTGAATTCAGCTAGATACTGGTCTAATTAAGAGATCATGAAGTAGACTAACACCCAGCAACTGTCAGAAGAGAAATGCTGTAACAAAAAACCGTAACACTGATTAAAAGTAATAGTCTATGGACCACATTCAGCCAAATCATGAGTAGGCCTGTTTGCACAGGAGTTTAAACTGATTTCAACAATGTCAAAAAAAAAAAAAAAGTAATGTAAATGAAAGTCAGAAAGTGAATCTGCTTTTATTCTCCAATTAGTTACTATTTACACCATATCATTCCATGTCTACCAGTGACACATAAGTAATCTTACAGTGAAAGTCCATCTGCTGCTACACAATTTCAGAGAGGTTTTCATGAACATTTAAACACAACTCGGATAACTTGCAAGGCACCCAGCCATTTTTTCTTCCTTGTTCTCTCTTCTCCTAATGACATTCCTATTGAGTTAATATGACTCCTGAAGTCCAGAAAGATCTTTATTATGATGGCATCAAAAGGTTAAGATTTGAAAGCGTGACAAGACTATATACACTTACTTAACACATTGATTAGCAATCATCTGACTTACCAGTGTATGGCAGCTCCGCAGATACTGGAAAGAGAGGCATAAACTCCATCCCCAAAGACATAAAATTGCCATAAAGGACAGTTTGCTGGACAAAGGACATCATCTGTCTCCTTTCTAAGGTCAAGTCCTCTTGTAAAGCACGTGATAGCAGTGGAAGCTAAAGAAAAAAGAAGAACCTGTGACCTGAAAATCTTAAGGGTTTGTTGGTTTTGGGTTTTTCTGGTTGGTTTTTTGTTTGTTTGTTTTTAAAATCTCTCTACAGTTTCCAAGCTTAAAGCAATGTTTGAATTTGAAATTAGGTACAGTGTCTCATCTTATGCTCCAGTACATCTGCAAAGACATCTTTGGCACTTACAAATGTACCATTATGACAAGGAAGAACACATTTTTAAATTATTTATGGGGAAGAAGTGGCAGGAAAAAGTGGAAATGGTAAACAAAAAAAATATGAGCAAACAACCCTACTACAACATTAAAATAATATCCAAGAAATATTACAGGAGGAAAAGCAATTCACGTCTTAAGTCTTCTGCAGAGACAGAAGGGCAAGGGGAAGACCTTCAAGGACTGGTGGAACACAGGAGTGGGTGGCACTCTCCAAGGGAGAGATTAAATGACTCTGACATCCCCAGAGTAATCTCCAGCCGTAAGACATCTACGAATCACTCCGAATCTTCTCTCCAGTGGCATTCGTGAAGCAGGCTGACAGTAGCATTTCCCTTAGCCTCTGCAATAAATCCTACTGAGGCCAGTGTAAAAAAAGGAATACCCATCTCCTTGCTCCAGTAATACAGTAACATCTAGAACATTCATATCAATTCAGTGCAATGAAGTTTACACCATTATCATCGTGCAAAGGACTGTCAGATTCACCCAGTGAGACAGACATTAGTTATTCAGCTGAGGCACATGCATTTTTTCACACAGAACTCTGCCTTTTAAGAAAAAAGTTGGTCCTCAGATTATCATAGAATCATTTAGGTTGGAAAAGACCTTTAAGATCATCCAGTCCAACCATTAACCTACACTACCAAGTCCACACTAAACCATTATCATCGTTAAGCTTTCACTGTGCTTGCCTGTGTGCAATGTAGGTATGCAGACACAGATGTATACCAGTACACAATTTTGCTTGGCAAATTGATGCTTTTTCTTTTGAAAACTTAGAGGTCATTATCTTGGATACTAATACCATCCTTCTACTACACAGGATAGCAGCACATTCAGCTGCTCTGATAGCACAGCAAATTAGGGCTTTGGCTTAGATTGACGTTAATTCAGCATCATAAGTACCATGATTGGATATTTATTCTGAATTTCCTAAGAGTACATCTTGCCCTTGATGAGGTGCAAGAACCTTTTCTATATGCACTTGGAGTATTATTTTTTCACAACAGTAAGATGGGAGCTGACAGAGCTTGGCCAATGTATCAGGGCACACACCACAGCATTATATCCCAAGGAGAACATGTTTTGGGGATCAGTGATCTGTCTCTCATCTGCTTCCCTGCCCACTCTATCCACTCTTACCCTAGGGTGTTTACTGACTCCAACATAAGCTGCTTGTATTTGCAATTATTTAGAGCATACGCCGCTCCTCATCAGCAGATGGGAAAGATCATACCTCCTGCCAATCTCACCAACTTTAGAACTGAAAAGCAGAACAGTGACAGCCAGAGGTGCACAGGGAAGCATGTCTGTTCCTTCTGGCTGCATCAGTCAAACACGTATCTTCATAGACCATGCATGTAATTTTACTCTTAAGTATACGTAAACCTCATTAATGCCGTACTGCAATTATGTTACACTACATAATCACATCTTCCTGAAAAATCTTGCTGCTATTTGTCAGCACAAAGACATGACTTAAATATGCTAAATATGTCTATATAGTCCAGAGTAAGAAAAAAGAAAGCAGTAAATACTTCTTCATTTTTTACCTCTCAAGATAATAAAAGCTGTCTACCTAGCAAGACACTGTGAAGTGATTTAATCTGATTCTCAAGTATCCTAAGAAATAAATAAGTTTTAGGACTTACAGTCATACCTGCTCACATCCTTTCCGTGTTTAGTTTATACATTTGCCTTAAAAGCAAAAGTCTGAAAAAACAAGGGGAATCGCCATGCTTGTACCTAGGAGTTCCGTATTTTCACTGTTAAAAGTGCTATATTATTGGTGTTATGCTAAAAGAAGTCAATTTGCTTTGCTCTTTGAGTCCCCTAATCCTTTCATGAAAGTTCTACAAGTGTGTTCGCTAATTACTGGGCATTAATCCAGTAATACCCACCAAATGACAACCAGCAAGACTGTCAGAATAGAACAGCAGCTGGAAGGCTGGATATCCTTGGAAGAATCACTGCTCTCATCTCACAGTACTGCTTGTGCCATACACCCTCCAATATTTTTCCAGCCTCTAAAAGTGCGAGACACCACAGGAAGTTTTAATACCTGCCATTTCTAAAGTATTGTACTTGACAGAATTCCTTAGCAGGCTGTGCATACAAAGATAATAATTAGATATGTCTAGTTAACAAACCCTTTATCACTTGGAGATCTGCATTTCCCTCACTACCAGGTACTTACTAATTACAGTCATATGTCAGACTAACAGTTTACATAGCACAGAAGATGGGGGGGTGGCAGATCTTGCTGTGTTTTCCCTGGCTATGAAAACACAGAAATCCATTGTAGTCCACCCATGGGATTTTTATGTACTGGCAGCCTAAAGCCTGTCACGATCCTCGTCTACACCATGAGAGGGGGACTTCCCAGGGAAGGGAGCAAGTTGCTGCTGTGTGAACTGAAGAGCTAACATACTGTAACTAGGGGCTTTAGCAGTTCGTACCTCAGTTGGATCAGCACAGACATAAAAAACACACACTTTAAAGTACACTATGCTGTTAATGAAAAAGCAACAATTTCATTTTGGTTTTCTATGTAGGTAGCTACAGTTTTCTATAAGCTATAATTCTTTAACTGAGACTAACATTAGGAGTGTTAGGTGCAGTATCAAAATCAGAAGTACTGGGTACCAAAATGAAGGCTTACGGTCTCAACTCTGCAGTGGATTTTGTTCTTCCCTGTTAGTTAATGTATCATCAGCTATCCAACCCATAAAACTACAAGTAGTCCGTTGCAAACAGGAAAATGTATCAATCAGGTCTGAATACTAAATACAGAATAGTTCTTTGCCAGTTTACATACTAATCATTCTCCCAAATTTCATATGTGATATTAGTATTAAAGTTGAAGAAGTTGGTTGGTTTTGTTAGTCTATCCAAGATACTTCATCACAGCAGAAATCGCCAAAGAGCTATATATATAAAGTAACCGAGATAAACCCTGTATGTTTTAATCACTATAACTTAAGAATGCAAAAACAGTAGCAGTGGAAGTATTTCTCTGGATACTTAGGTGATCCAATACTTTAAATCCATGTACCTTTGGAAGAAGGAAAGATAAGCTTGTAACTTACAGGAAAGGACTCAGTCCAGACCCCTACCCATGCTGAACTCTGATGAAGACTAGAAACCTACGTTATGAGATATAAAATTAGGCCTTCAGAACTGTAATAAAATTATCATCATCCCATTCTGTCAAGACACACACTCTTTAAGCCTCACAGAAACATACTACATCAGGGTAACCATAAGAACAAGGTACAAAGAAAAGAAACTGTGTTTCTTCCTGATTTAAGCCATATTTAAAGGTAGGGATGAATGTCTTCCATCAGTGTTGACCTAAAAAAGAAAAAAAAAAAAGCAAAGGCTCACTTCTCTCCTAAAACATCCAGCTGATAACCATGGTTTCAATCATTCCATCAGTTTCCATCTTTTTGGCGCCTCGTGCCATGTACTCTGATTTGCCCCAGATAGCTGTTTCTTATGCCTACCTATAAAAGTTCTCAATTTTTGACAGGAGTCACTAATTTAAAAGACTCTGGAAAAATAAAATCTATAGCCAAAATCTGAGCTTTTCTAATCTTGAGGTTTCTATGCATTGCTTCGGGAAAGCAAAGTTTTTTTATGTAAAGGAAAGAAAAAAAAATCCCTATGTACATTATTACAAAAGGAAAAAAAAAAATACAGATTCCTAAGAGTAAGATAGCTTTGTGAGTCATAAAATAGAGAACTACATCCCTATTATGGTTCTTATTCCTTTTAGAATAGTTTCTTTGCAAAACAGGAAGATCCGAAGTCCTTTTTTATCTTGAGGTTAAAAAGCCTGCTTTTTATACTTTATGCAAAGAATACTCCCACAACCCTTATCCTACCTAAAAAAAAAAAAAGACATACTGGTAGAACTACACCTGTTTATATTTTGGAGAACATGTTCACAGATTGCATATTAATTCATGTCATCTTAAGTATATATCCTGATACGGACAAGGGCAATGGGATTTTAAACAATCTGGTCAGGGGTATATCATTCATTTCAATCTGAGACTTGCCCTTTTCTGATCAACTTAAGGTCGCTTACCATCACATGCCAATGTTCACCCACCCATACAGTCTCATGTATGGTAACCAGAACTGCTGAACTCAGCAGCATTTGTATGCATGTCAGGAGGAGTATAAGGAAAGGCATAAGATCCTTTAAGATCTCCCCAAATAGTTATGAGCCTGAGTACAGAAGATTTTTGAGGAAACTAGCGTTCTTTCATTACTTTGAACAACAGAATTTAAGCACTTTATAAAAGTTTCTGCAAGCTTCTAGTTCAATAACCAAATGCTGCTGAATTAGGCTGAGAATAACAGTAAGAGACAATATCTTATGGTAACTGTTTACATTTTATATTACAAACACATCCTGGTACCAATATTCCATTTTGCCAATATTCCCTTAATGTTATTTTAGCTGATTCCAGATACCTTCAGATTACAGTGGCTGCTTCAGCCCTGGGAGGAAGCATTACAGAAAACTTTTTGCTTGGTTCCTGACAGACTGTCAGCACTTCATCTCTAGTGCACCTGTAAAACAAGAAGGAAAGGAACTGGGGTTGGAGTAGGTTTTCTATTGCTGTGCATTTTTTCCCTTTTTTAGCCATAGCACTCCTGTGACATATAGCTATTACCAGTTTAGCACAAAAGAACTTTCCAAATGCTTGACTGAACACAAAATGAGCAGAAAATCCTGCTTCCAAATGACTGTGAAATCCTGAACAACCATTCAGAAAAGCTTGAGGTCACTCACCTTCTGCAGGCCAGGCCTGCGTCTGGAAGCGCATCCTTCCGGAGGGTCCTGCCCTCCCCCGGTGAAAGTCTCCGCTGGAAGGGGCAGGCAAACCACTTGCATCCTTCTGGCACATTTTTTCTTCAACTGCTTCCTATGGCTCCCAGTTCCCGTGGATTGCCTCTGGCTCCCGGAGAGCCCGCGCTCCAGCAGCAGGGATGCAGTCCAATAGGGCATGGTGCAACAGGCAGCCCCTGCCCTGCTAGGCAGCTTAAGTCTGTTCTTTTGCTTCCCAGGTCAAAATAACGGCAGGGCAGGTTTAAAAGGTTTTTAAATCAATTCCATGGTCAAAAATATGTCGGAGCTCCTCAAATTGCCACGCACTGTGCGAGTGCCTTTTTAACACACACAGACACGCTCCCACTCACCCTTGCT